GTGTTCCCTCTTTCGCTGTGTCTCTCTCTGTCAAATAAATAAATAAAATCTTTAAAAAAAAAGAAAGAAAGAAAATCTGGCAAACAACTAACACTTGTAGAAGAACCTGAGGCTCAGATTAAAGCTGAAGAGAAACAAAACAGAGTTTCATCTCCTGAGATGCTTTCTTCTGCCAGCTGGGAAGTCTGATATAACAACATTTTCTTCCCATGATGCAGAGCCACTGTTCATGACCACGTGGTGCCCTGTAGATAATAGGTATATCGATGCCACTAATGGGCTATGTCCTTGTTTTCTTCATGATAAAGCAGTCTACACACACACACACAATGTTTGGTTGCTGGAGAGAGGGGTTTCAGTAGAGAAAATTCTTAGAACTCAATCAAATCAATTACTGTGAATGCATGGAGAAGTTATCAGATATTCAATGTAACCACTTTACACTAACTCAAATGTGGAAACACTTTGGTTAGTTTTTTTGTTTTTTGAGTTTTTTTGTTTTGTTTTGTTTTATTCTGTTTTAAGTGGGTTGGCCAAGAGCTGAAAACCTGTTAGCCAAGGATCTGAGTACTCTAAAAAGCAGGGTGCTCAGACTAGCCAGCTGCCTACCAGGAACTCAGCGGGTACGTGCGGCTCCAGGGAGATCAGCTCTTCTGAGGCTCACTTTTTCAATCACAGCTTCTCCTAGTCCCCATCAGCTGCCTTCTGCATCCAAGTTACACACACAGGCCTTGGCACACTGTGTCCCCATCCCTCCAGAGAGGGGTCCACCTACTGTGCTTCCTTGAACAAAGCAATAACTCTTACTTGAAATGCAGAGAACCATGGATTTCTTGGAGGGGAAAATGGTCCACACCAGATTGTCCTTCTAAGCCCAAACCATCTGGTATGTTTTTACCATATGTGCAAAAAAAAAAAAAAAACCTAGAGAAAAGGGGATTTTTTTTTTTTCTTTTTTGCCTTGTTGATGATCTGGACAGGGAATTGGAAAGATTCTCCAAGCCCAGAGGGCTTGTGTACTGTCTATAAGGCAACTCACAATTACTAATTGCCAAGGTTTATCTAAAAGCTCTTCAATAAAGGGGTGGCCAATTTAAGCCAAACAGCAGTTTGACTTATCAAAATTAATCAGTGTTCCCAATCTTTCACTGCCTTGGGTCCTTCCTTTTTTCCCATAGTCTAATGGCTGCGTTGGGCCGTCTTTTGGCCACAGGACACAAGTGCAATGCAGTCACCTCTCTTACATTTGGGAAAGAAAAAACTGGAAGAAAAGTCAGATGCATTTTCTTTTCGTTTTGTTTACAACTTATTGTTATGTATAAATTATTGGTATCTGTAGCTTGTATTTTTTTCAACTGTTACAATTATTAATTAGCCTGTAGATAGAGCCCTGAGTAGGACATCATCCTTTGTCCAAGTCTGTGATGTTCCTTGTAATAAAGCTCCAGGACTAAAAGATGGAATGAAGAAGGACATCAGGGTTACTCAGTGCTGGATCATATTCCTGATACTGGTCTGGTTCCATCCAGGACCAGTTCCCAGGATCTCCTCCTAGTGTGGGAGAAGTTGAGTAAGGCAACTTCAGGAACCCTCGGTGATCACAGCATCTCTGGAATCTCAGCACTGGGCAGTGTGTGCAGTTTGGTCCTGGAGATGAATGTCAAGGTGCCCCTTGATGGCCCAAATCTCATACTTTGCAGTTGAAGCAAGCATTTCGATTCTGTTCCTAAACACAGTCCTGCTCAGTGAGAAATATAGTTACATTTGTGATTGCCCTTCTGAGCACACTTTAAAATCCTCTCCACAAACCTGATCCAGTATGTTCATTACAAACCAATTAACCAGGGAAGGCTTGCTTTGGGTAAGAAAACACTTCTGGGTTCTGCAGGGACCCATGTTCGCAAATGGTTATTCTTGCATCTGCTGTGGAACAAAAGATATTTAAATGTTCTCTGCATTTCTCCCTTTCTAGTTGGCCCTCACATTGGGCGTTACTGTGGACAGAAGACACCAGGTCGGATCCGTTCCTCATCAGGCATTCTCTCCATGGTTTTTTATACTGACAGTGCAATCGCAAAAGAAGGCTTCTCAGCAAACTACAGTGTCTTGCAGAGCAGTGTCTCAGAAGGTCAGTATTTCTTCATCTTGCAAAGCGCTGTGGTAAACACTCCCTGTTATTCCTCCTCACACACCTTGTGGCCACAGGAAACACTAAAGAAATGTTTTGTGAATTGGAGTGCCAAGTATTTGTTTTTCTCTTTTAAATGGTTTTTATGAACATCAATAGGAAAAACTATTTGGTGTGCCTTCTTAAGAAAATCGTGGATGAGAAGGCTGCTTGTAAGCCTCTGAAATTATGGGAGAAAGTGGAAAATGGCAAAACAGGGCCCTGAAACAATGAACTATAGCCAGACCTGTCTGGCACCCTTGAATGTGTATTGGGTTGAGAATCATAGATGGACAGGCTTCAATCAGAAGTGACAGGAACACATATGTGGTGGTTTATTGACAGGGCAGGCTTATAGGATAGATACTAACACATATGGTTTGGGTTATGAAGACCCAGACGGAAGCCATTTTGTTTTTCTTTCTTATGTGAATAGAAGTGGATATTTGTGTAAAAGAAGCATGTTTCAATTCCTGTTCTAACTTTCCACAAAAGAAAGAGGAAGTAATATGTTTCGCATCTTATTAAAATACGCAACTCAACTAACTCAACCCTTCCATGTGGTGTCCGGCTCTTTCAAGGGCCCAAGGAAAACATCAGAAAGAACAATGAATAAAATTGTGTGTTTCAACATATCTAGCTTTAGGTTGTATATGACCTAGCCTGTAGGACAGGTCTCCAAACATCCCCCATCCTCTTCGCTAAGTTATAGCCAGACCACCTGTCTGGCACCCTTGAATGTGTATTGGGTTGAGAATCATAGATGGACAGGTTTCAATCAGACATGATAGGAACACATATGTGGTGGTTTATTGACAGGGCAGGCTTACAGGATAGATGCTGTAGCAAAGAGGACGGGGGATGTTTGGAGACCTGTCCTACAGGCTAGTCTCTTTTTTACCAGATCTTACTGGAAAATAAAAAGGCCAATTAAATCACAAAATCTTATTTGTACTTAATTTGATTAATTAATCTATGTATCTTTGTGTCTATAAATATTGCTATTATAAAATAACAAACCTAAGCTTAAAAGTATGAAACCGGTGAAAGAAAACATTTTATGCCCTAAAACTTTATCTATTATGATAAAACATTCAGAAAATGTGGAAGTTTGGTTAATTGAGAGTTTTCTTGATCGTTGAGAATCTTTAATCTCTAAAGCTTTTTTTCACCTTAGCACTTTAGATTCACATTTCCTAAAGTTGATTATTCATCTCCCTTTATCATATTTCATATCAATGTCATATTTCATTGTTTCACTGAGTATATGAGGCCTAATGGAATACATGCTTTTGTGATTCATCATCATCATTGTGAGTGTTATTATTTTATGTTGTAAAGTGGTGGTCCTCTTTGGGGCTATATGATACTGCAGTTTACTTCTGATGGATACTCCCGTGTTTTAATGATATAAACTAAAGACGTGAATAATCATGCCCAGGCCAGAGGCAGGAGGCATGAGAATGAAGGGAGTCAAGGAGAGGTTGCCCGGGTGCCAAATACAAGGAATCTGAAAAACAGAGAGTTAAGGTCTGCTGTCCACCAAATATGGATTATAACACAGACATGGGGTCTTATTCACTTTTATTAGATATTGAAGGAAATAGTAAAATTTTATTTAAATATAGCTTCTATATTAAACTTTGAAAATAAATAAAAATTCCCATTATTTCCTAATAAATTTCTAATAGTATTTGTCAACCTAGGTCCAGTGAGGAAAATAACTAATCACTATGAGATCTTCATAGCCTTGCTTTTAAAAATTATTGCCATTATTACTATTATTGTCACATATCAGTGCTACGTCCCAGTAAGTCCTTCACTGTTATCTTCTGGAAGATATTGTTGGTGAACATCAAAATGGTTTTAGTCTGCCAGATTATAAGAAGAAATATGCATCTCGGTCGGGTCCCTTATGTTGTGATGACTTTGAGCCCTTTTATTTCCCCTTCAGATTTCAAATGTATGGAAGCGCTGGGCATGGAATCGGGGGAGATTCATTCTGACCAAATCACAGCTTCTTCCCAGTATAGCACCAACTGGTCTGCAGAACGTTCTCGCCTGAACTACCCCGAAAACGGGTGGACTCCTGGGGAAGACTCCTACAGAGAGTGGATACAGGTACGTAGCACGAGACCTGGCACACATAGGGTGGAAGATTTAGGTCATCTAGAAGGGTTGCTGAAAAAAAACAGTGCCATTCCAAATGCCTTCAAAAGCGAAGAGAGGAACAATGGGTACCGAGTGTAATCTCCCTGCAGGATCATCGCGTCACCACAATCTGAGAAAAGCAGGCCCAGTTGATGTCCCTGAAAATGCATTTATTTTCTCACATACGTATATACAACTCTTCAGAGAATTTGAGCACAGATGTCTCACTTCGGTAACAACTAAAAGATCTGATTTTTCCCCACAACTACACATTTTCTATTCATACACTTCCTCCTACAACAGATTTTTATTTCCTTGATGAAATACATTAGCTCTAGCAGACTTGCATGAAATAATTGTATCTAAGTATAAGGCTTCTTATTTGTTTGTTTGTTCTGAGTAGAAGAAGGGAAGAAAGGGGTTGAGGTTTACTTTTCCTATAGGTATACACAGCACATGCCCAAGGCAGCAGTCTGATTGAGGGCTCGGGTCTCTGTGGATTATGTATATACACATATAAGTATGAAATGGACACATTTGTATCCTTATGATGTTGCTTCTGCTTTGCTCCCTTTGCCCTGGCACTCCCTTCCCTGCCCTTGTCTCACATTCCCCAGAGACTCTCCTCCCCTGCACCACGACTCCCCTGCCCCGACTCATCCTTGGCACCACTCCTAATATGCCTCAGCTTTTCCAGCCTTGAGGTCTGGATACTCCCACCCAAGGCCTGACGCTCATGTTCTTGACTTTTTCACCCACTGTCAAATGAAACATCCATATCTGGATGTGGGGGTTTAACTGTGGGCAAATTATACAGAGTTATTTGCTGAAGGATCCAGGCTTCCTTTTCAGAGAGTAGGCAAAGCTTGACTTACATTCATTGCTAAATATATAAAAATGACTAATTCCCAGAGAGAGTTTCTAAGCAAGAAAAAAACCACGATGATTAATCCCCTACTTTCTACATCTATTGCTGCTTCAGTCTTTTGAGCACAAATACCAGATTTTGTTTTACTTTGAGAAGGTCAATATTAGTTTAACATACACTTAAAGTGAAATGGCCTATTACGGAAGACTGAACTCCTGCTAACCTCTAAATGATAACACTGAGAAATGTGTCGAGAGTGAGAAAAGATGAGACTTGTACCTGTGGATTGCTGAATCCAGCTCTAGATTAAGTGAGAAGTTAAATGAATTTGCCTATGTCAAAATAGCTCTTGGCAACTTGTTTTTCCACATCCCCAAACCAACAAACAGTTCCATATGATTGACAGACGCGCCTCTAGAGGAGAGCTTGGATTTTGCAGTGCTAAGCATCTTTGCATGGTAACGTAGTCCTATTCTTGGTAATGTGGAGAGTGCTGGATAATTTAGGGACAGTGGTCTTGCAAGAGTTCTGAAATTGCAACTGTAGCAATTCTTCTGTGCAGGGCAATTCTATGTCAGGAGAAACACGGAGACAAAATGGGCTCTCACAAAGCATTTGTCAACAGGACAGGATTCACATCATTCTCAGGAGTTAGGCAGAAGAAAAAAATCTGAAACGGCCCAACTCTTTCCACCAAAGCATAGAAAGCAATGGTTAGGAGAAGCTAGGTAATCAAGCCCCCCCCCAAATGAGGTTTAGTTCAAGCTCAAGCTTCTTGCCCTCTTCAACTCCAGTCGGCTGGGGGTCTGCTCCACATCTCACCCCAGGACCCAGACAGAGGGAGTGGCCATCATCCCAAACGTTGCTTGTCACCAAGCAGAGGGAAAAAGAGAGCACGGCCATCGTGCTAGCTCTTAAGTTCCCCTCGAAGAACACTTCCACTATTTTCATTGCCAAAGCACGTCCCATGGCCACACTTAGCTTCTGAGGGGCAGCAATTCAATGCGTGCTGGAGGGAGGAGAGCTAGAAATTTGGTGAACAGCATTCATGACAATTGTGCCATTCATAGAATAGTTACCATTTATTGAGTGTTTACTATGGGGCCCAACTTCTGCGGAGTACTTGACATATTTGCATTTAATCCTCCCAGCGATCCTGGGAACAAGGTGCAATTATCCTCATTTTAAAAATGAGGACACTGAGGTTCGGAGAGATTAGTAAATGCCCAAGGTCACAGTGAATGACCGGGCTGTCAGACTCCCAACACCTGCTTCTTTACACTTTGGTCTGCTCTGCTTTATCATGCGTTACCTTTCATATAAATTCAGGTGTATCTTGCGACACGACTCCCTTTATGCTTTTCCTCGGGAGAAGACACACCGAGATGAGCTGGGTGCTTACTGTTTCTGAACCTAGAATTCAGTGCCTTTATGCCCTCTCCATCCCTATGGAAGATGAATGTCAGAGAAGCTTAGCATCAGTGCACCTTGAGGTAAAATTATCTTGTGCTCTTTCTGGAGCTTAGCAGGCTCATTTCCATGCTTGTTGTGTCTGCGTACGTGGTGGGGGTTCTTATCTTCACCCATCACCTAATTATGAATAATTTCATATGTTTCCAGCTTTTCTGAAACTCCTTGGAAGTGGTTGGCTTGTTGTTTTCTCTGGATAGATGTTTTAAATTAACCAACAAGTAAAGCATAATTGAGGCTGAGGGCAAGAGGCACATACCTCTAGTCGCAGGAAAGTTAGCGCACATACATTTCTATTTATATGCACATCAGTATGCGGATGGTATTTGTTTTCTTTTTCCACTTCTTCACATTTTGCATGAAATATACCCCACAAAACATGTTGCTGTAGCAACAAGGACAAACACTTGCATGTGTTAAATTAATAAGGCAGTATTGGAAGCCGACTTTCCTTCAAGACAGGAACAGTCTTTGGTTGCCATTGTTTTCTCTAGGAAATTACTGAGTGACATAAAAAAACAATGCGTCGTTAACCATGGGTATGAACGTCCACCGTGGGGCTTCCTGTGAGATCTGTTGTCTGCCAGAAAGCTTAAAAACAAGTCAAGAGGCAGTTTGGTGGGAAGGGGCATAAGGGAAGTCCCGGCTCGGAGCTTTGCACATGGTCATATCCTGCTCAAAAGGCCACTTCATATCCTGAGCAGCTAAAACCTCTTAATTGTCCACAGCAGAGTTAATCACACTGTGAAATTCCCCCATGTTTTTCAGAGTATGCCATTCTGTCCTGTGTCCTAGAGCTGCTTATCTAATTGTTAATTTAATCTTTTTCTTCCTTTTGTTTCTGGTTAAACAATCAAGGATTCAAAGTAAAGACTCAGGATATCAGTGGTGCTGTAACAATTCTTCATTTTCGAGCACCTCATTAGAGCCCAAGCCATTAACTTCATTGAAGCTGAGTTTCTTCCCCTGTAAAAATAAAGGTACTGTAGGCTTCTCCATTCAAGCTCTAGCCATTCGTGATACTGTGAATCTTGGAGAGAAGCAGTCTCCGTTTTTCTTCTCCTCTCTGTATACTAAGTGCGTTGCGTACTGTCTGCTCAGGGAACATGTTCTTATAGATGCTAAGTGTAGCCATTCACACACAATGCAGAATTTAATTCGTTAATTATTTCAATGTTTTATTAATGATAGTGTTCACCACACTGTAAACAAATTTATCCTTCTCACTGTAATTAAAGCTCTTGGGAGTGCTTTCCTCAAAACAACTGTGACTTTTCCCTGATTAAAATACCAGGAGACAAGGGGGGGAAAAAAAGGCAAGATATAAAATGCCTGGATGGGATATGAACTTTGTTGATCCAAAGACATAAAAATGGCGCCAGGGACTAATTGATTACCACACCCCCCAGTGACTTTAGAAATAGAATTACTTGATAAACCAACTTAGGCTGGAATTCCGCTCTTCCCCAGATTTGGGGGCATTGTCTTTTGTGGGAAAATTTTGGGTACTAGATTATTTATGCCCTCACTTATTCCAGAGAAGCAGAAAACGAAAGCGGTTGGCTCCTAAACCCTATCCTGTTTGGTTTGGTGAGACAGCCCTCATTGATTAATCACACAGAAGAAGAAAGCCTCAGGAAGACACTCTGTAGCTCTAAGAATACATCAGCAAGCCCCCGGAGCAAAAGTGCCTTCTCTCTCTACTACATTTCCTTGCATAGATGTTCATTCTGAAGTATGAGGAGGAGGAAAGCTCCAGAAGAGAGGACGTAGTGCTAACTTTATGGGGAAGCTTGTTTCTGTGTTTTCCTTTTGCCTTATATGTATTTCTCTTGGATAATATTCCACATTTTCTAACTGAAGGAACTTGGAAAGCAGACATGAGCAGCAAAAGGCCTTAGTGTGTGGAAAGGAGGTAGTCTGAACTGAGTCAGAACACACCCACACAGCACACGCACATTCCGTTTACTCACTGGCAACTATAGCATCAAAGACAGTAGGTGCCCTTGTTCACGCTCAGTATGAGAAACTGGCCAAATCCCGGAGGCCTTTAGGTTGCTTTGTGGATTTTAAAATTCATTGTAAGACATGTTCTAACAACAAAGCCTTATGTTTCTATAGCACTTTTCCTTTATTAAAGCACCTTTTTGGACGCAGCCCATTTTAGTCTTCAAATGTACCTTAAATAGACCAAAGATTCACATCCCCATCTTCACGTGAGAGAACAGAGGTTCAGAGAAGTTCAATGGTTCATGAATCCCAACGTGGGGAAAAGATGCGACTTGTGGGAAAGCTCAGGCTTACACAATGGAAGTGGACTTCCTTCCTCAGACTTGGGAATGGAGTCAGTGGGCACCGAGAGGTCTGGAAGGCAGACAGCAGCTGCTGAATCACCACTTGTGGTCAGGCCTGACACAGGCCCAGTGCTCAGCTGGCCTTTGCGTAGCTCTCTGACCATTCGAATTGTGGGTCTTTTCACCTTACGCTGCCTCAAATGAGGTAAGCGGGGCAATTGCCCCACTCCACCTCTACAGAGAAAAACTACAGAGCCTTCAAAGTTGTGGGGCCTGCCAGGTCCCAGAGGAGTTTGTATGCAAATAGCCAGGTTCCTAGAACCCCCAGCCCCAAGGGGCTTTCCTCTAATGCCAGGAGGTTCACTTCCCAGAAGCTCCCCCCAACATCCCTCCGGGGCTGTGTGTTGTATCTCCCAGTAACATCAGGCTCTGTCATCATTCAGAAATAGAATTAACAGTTACAACTTACTGAGAACAGAGACAAAAGTTAATTTAAAGGTGTGGGCTTGATTTCAGGAGCTGAGGAGAGGCCAGCTGGATGCCCTGTAAGTAACTAATGGAATGAAATAACTCATGAGTTCTTGGAAATATTCCCTCTGACACGTGGAATTATTACACATTTTTAGCAAATCTTAGGTGGGAGAAGGGAGTGCTGCTCATTCAATGAAAAGAATTTGTTATTTGGAACCCTGGGTTTTTATCTTTCAAGTTAGTTGCCTTCCAAAATTAAAAGTAGAAACTGGAGTCATTTATCTTAAAGCTTTAGAATGTCATTTATTTTAACAAGTTTCATATATAATTTTCTTTCCTTCAAAACTTCCCGGAAACATCTTTTGTTCTCATAATAATGTGTTAAGTATGGAACAGGTATCTCCAATGAAATAGTTTTTGACTTTTCATTCAATTGCTAGTTTTTAGCAAGTTTATAATCTGTATGCTATATTCAAAATTGGTTCCATTTGCTAAATTGACTAATCCAGAACATATATTGAGCCAGGTTATCCTGATTGTAAACATGCTGCTTATAAACCAGACACTTCAGAAGGTACATTATCTCATTCAGATCATTAGTAAATTGCTGAAATTGCAATAAAGTGATCCTTTATAAATGTGTAACTAGAGAACTGACAAAAATAGCTCACTGGTTTACCCAAATGTGGAATGATGCATGTAAAATATAATGTTGGCAAATTTAGGGAAAATACAGCTGTTCAACTGAACGTTTATTCCCCAGGTGTGCTGTGTGTGTGTGTGTGTGTGTGTGTGTGTGTGTTGCAACTAATATTAATATGCTATTTTAGCTGAAACATTGATCTGGAAGGGAGACAATTTGCTTTTTAAAAAATCCCCCAGGTAAGCCTTTGGTTGTCTTACCCTGATTCTGCAGTGACCTCTACTTCCTGCATAAAACGAATGCTTAACGTCCTATCCTTAGTGCATCATAGGTCTGTTTTCAGTGACTAGGGTTCCACCCAGGAAGTCCCTGTTCCAAAAATTCCTCTCTCGAGGAAATTTTCCTAATGCTTTCTCTGGTACCTTGGTTTCTCATGTAATAGGAAGTCATTTGAAGGAAATACATATAGGAAATGCATGTAGGGATGGATTAAATTCAGAGTTTTTTGCTGCTTTAAAGGAGGATATGATTTGGGGAACACAGAATAAGTATATGACATAATTCTTTAGATATTTTTAACTGATTGTTTTGTCATACAGAAAATACCAGGATGATTGTAACCATTTTGATTAAGTCGACCACTTAATTTAGTTTTAAAAATCAGTCAAATGATTTTACTAATTAGTATTTCTTGTCAACACACCCTAAAGAAAATGTATGAAATTTAAATAAACCTCTTAGATTTTTATGATGAAGCACCACTGGAAAGACAATATTGAAAGAACCACAACTGTTCAGCTAGAATTACACTTAAAATAGATTAATTTGCATACCACACACATTCCATTTTGCTTACAGTTTTGGCTTCTTATTATTTTATGCTGTGTCTATTTGGAACCAATATTCATAGTTATATTCTAGAGAAGAATTGTTTTCTTTCCAGGATAGCTCAACTTTAAATGTAAGACTAAAAGCAGATGTAAACGTCATCCTGTCTGAATTCCTTATTTTGCGTAGGTTCAGAGGTTAAGTGATTTGCAAGACCACATAGCAAGTTAATGACAGAACCTGGACTAGAATCTTAGTAGCCTTGCTGCCCCTGCTTTGTTGTTGCTCAATTGTAATAATATGCAAAAATGGATTTAGATCCTTTTTGAAGATGGTATCCTGAAGACCGTTTATATCCCAGCATATACCTGCTCAGTCAGTGATTGGTAAGTGATGTCTATCAAATTGAACAGTCACTGCGGAAGCTGTACTTAAACCAATGATTGGATTGTGTCTAGAGCAGGTTTTCTTGGTCTGGACAATACTGACATTTTAGAATAGATAATTCTTTGTTGTGGAGGCTATCCTGGGCGTTATAGGATATTTAGCAGTATCCCTGGTCTTCACCCACTAGAAGTCAGTAACACACACACACACACACATACACACACACACACACACCCCCCTCCATATGACAGCCAAAAATGTCTCCAGGCATTGTCAAATGTCCTATTGGGGAAAAAAAAATCACCCTCGGTTGAAAACCACTGGTGTAGAAGACACCCTAAGTCCTAATCAAGTCATTTTTTAAATAATAAGGTTGATCACTGTTTTGAAAGAAAAAGTAAATTGGTTGCTTGGCTGTTTTTTGTCACTTTTCAACAGCTTATCAAAGATATCATTTGAACAGAATTGTAGTTCTTTTGTTTTCCAAAAATACTGATGCATCTGTTTACCTTATGCAGGAAAATAGCATCATAAACCTCCTTGCTTATTTATCTTAAGCTTCACTATTTTTAGCTTTTAAAAGTGAACTGTCTTTAGCTAAATATATACAGATGTGATTTTACAATACTGTGGCCTGGGCTTCCAAATGCACTGATAAGGATTGGATTAAGGAAAGGAAACACAAGGATAAAATCACAAGTCATTGTTGACAAGATTTAGGAAAAATAAGACTGAAATGAGCTCCTCCACACCTGGACATTGTGTGTCACTGACCTTTGCCGACGTATTTTAATTTTTTGCAGTATGTAAATCAAATGCGTGTGTGTGTGTGTGTGTGTATTTTCACTTCCAAGTAATGGAGAGTAAGGAACTGTGTTTGAAAAGCTTGCCTATTGCTTATTACCTTATCTTTTCATGGGAAAAATACTATTAAGTTTCCAATTTTGTAACCTAAACAACAACACATTAAGAGCTGTCAATTACCAACCAGTTTCATATCTGTGGACCAATAAGAAGGCAAGGTTGATGGTTTCACATCTGTTTTGGGTGAAAGGCTGTTCCTGTCTGTGGTATTTAAAATTTAAAGAACTTCTGTTATTATACAATTGGGAATCCTCGGGGAGTAAAATGTTAATGAAATCCATAACATGCACAGATTTTATGATAGCAGTTTTAAGAAATTCCTTTAGTGGGGTTTGTAGATTTCTGTCCCGGCGGTAATAATTGTACCTTTTACAGAGTGCATTAATGTTTACATTTAGGAGCAATGGCTACGTTTATGCAGCGTGTAATGTAACACACGAACTCCTAAGCTTTAAATAACTCTCATATCGTAATTTGAAAGCCCCAGGGCGAAAAATGTGTGTTCTTCAGAATTGGCACAACCCACAGTTTAAAACTTGTCTGGCATGTTCGAGGCAACCTCCTGCAAAGGTGAAAAAGGTATACCCTGGAAATTCCAAAGCCAGGATGTGGATGGGTCTTCCATGCCCTCATATAGTTCTCATTTAATGCACCATTTGAAAGCTCCACATCAAAATGACAATTTTGATCCACATCAAAATAACAATTAGGGATGCTGACCTGCAACAGGGACAGAAACGCATACTTATTTCCTTTCTCCACTCCCACCCCGCCCCCAGCTTTCAAATTTCATTCAGTTCTACGTTCAGATAAAGAGAAGAAAGTTAAATCAAAAATGCTCTATACATCCCAATAGTAATAAAATGCTTTTATATTTCCAGCTATTGAACAGAATAAGCATTTGAGACTACTTGCACATATTGTGACTGAGAATAATCACATATGTACTTGTGTAAGTGATGTGAAGATTTGTTTGGTGTTTTTTGTGGGTTTTTTTTGTTTTGAGGGTTTTTAGCTCTCTTTGCCTTATGGGGTTAAAAAGCTCATTTATGACACTCTTCTATTTGCCTTTCTTCAGAAGAATGAAGTGTTAATTTTACCAAAATTTTATTTTCTTACAATTCTAATGCTTTAGATTTCTAACTGTTTTCTGGATTTAGCAGAAAAATAAATAAGCACCTTTATTCTTTCAGCAGGCCTGAGAAGGGCTATAGATAAAATTCTTCAGGGGAGGGGTGATTGGACCAGACAGCTTCTACTGTCTTTTCAAGCATTTAAGATTCTGTGATTGTATTAAAAATAAATGTACTTTATCAACTGGTGCCCTGGGCTTGCCTAAATGAAAACAAATACATGAAGCATAACTGGAATTCATTTTAAATGCTACCGGTTATCGTGTGAGGCAGCACAAAGGAAAAATTTACTTTTAATTAAAAAGATTTTCTCTCCTTAGATCAAGTAATTGTTTAGTTTGGCTTCATCATGAAGCCTCTCTGAGGATTTCACATAGAAACTCCACTAGTGGTTTTCCTTGGTTCTTTGGTACCAGCTCGCAGGGATATGCAGCCCATTAGGGGGATAAAAGGAAGCCCAGACAGTTCATGTTTCGTGTCTTTCCAATCTTTGAAGGAACTATCCGTAAGGCATAGGCTCACCGACCGTTTCAGACTGTTCACACCTTCAAGTCCTGCCCATACCCAGTCTTTCTTTCCTTAAGAAAACAAATACCACACGCAATTCTAAGGACATTATAGGCCATCATACTAGCCCAGAAAAGTGACAGAACAAAAAAGCAGCCCCAAGGGTCCTGGATGAAGCTGTGTGAAGAAGGACATTACAGTCGTCTTATGCCTCTAAGACTTGACTCTGGGCTAAAGCTAATGCAGATAGATCCTTCTCAGAAGAGAGAAAGACCAAGACCCAGGTAGACACATAGCCTTATGGCTATAGGTACAAGAAATTTGACAGAACCTTCAGTTTGAGAATCTGGAAATGAAACATAAAATTTGCAGTGGGAAGTACTCATGATAATAAAAAGAAGCTAGAGCATCATGAAATGTGAAATACTGAAGAAAATGTTTTTGATATTTTAGGAGATACACCAAGCTCTTGTGTAGAAGGGAAAATTTTTTTTTTTAAGTTCACAATCTTAAAAAATGAAGATACAGCATGCAGGATTTTCCTGGCCTAATTATTTAAACATTATTTTAAAAATCCATACTGCTCTCAATCAGCAACATTCTATTGCACATATATTACACTATTTCTGTAGTTTTACCTTACGTTTCCAAATATTGCATTCATTTATAAGGACGCTTTTATTTATTCAGAAAGCTTCAATTGCCAATACGGCAAGAATTCATTTACTTAACAATTCCATTTCCATGTAAAGAAAAACCAGTCAATACATTTGTGCATTTAACATGATATTTCCTCTCCATCAGCCACTAGGAAATAAATGAATCTCATTTATTGTGACAAAAATGGAAGGCGTCTTATACGATCTCCACTTGCACATTACTGTGCCTTCTGGGCAGTAGGACAAAAAGGAGAAGGAGGCAGGAATAGGTAATTTGGGGTTCCTGTATCTGCTAAATTTCAACTGTGATTATCAACTTCTGTAATACAATAATACAGTCTCCTTAGTCTAAGAACTTTGCTGCTTTCAAGAAGAATTTACATGAGCATCTGTTTATCTACTTACCTTTCTTTGAAGTGTCTAGATTTATAATATCCATATGTGGCATATACAATTCATCTGAATTAAAATCTTTTTATCAAAAGTAAAATTCAACAGATTATGAACCAGTTCATTCAATTTCTTTTTAATACTGGCAGTTTTAGTAAAACCATGCATAGTGATGTGTTCTTATCCTTAACTTTGCATCTAAAAGTATAGTAACAATAGGATAGGATTCTTACTGTTCCGAAAACCTGCAAGGTTATATGAAAGGAATGCTTAGCATTTCCAAATATGTGCCTCAGCTCCCTGTTTTTCTGTCAAGAAGCACCCCTTCCCCCCCCCACACACACAACAGTGTGGCCATGTTCACCAAGAAAGCATTTCACCTCTTGTCACCTCCAAGTATGTGGCTGAAATAGATGTATCCAACCACGTGTTAAGAATGGTTCCAGTGGATAAATGCAAGTCACAGCTTCCATTATGTTAAGGACTTTAGGCAGTGCTAGAGGACAAATAACACGATATGCTTAGTGTAACATCTGTGCTTATTTTCCTGTGGTTTGAAAGTAGTCACGCAGATGCATTTTTCCCATTGTCTGACCCAGGCTGAAATGCATGAAATTAATATAGGTAGATTTTTTTTTCACACCACATTTGGATAGCAAAACAGCATATCTTCAGAGCACAGAATGATGCCGTGCTTTGTCCCTTTCTTCCAAGAGGAGCCTGGAAATCCCTAATCATTATATAACATTTCTCCTTTCCTTGTTTTCATTTTCCACCTGCACCACAGAGCTGGTCAGTCCAAAACTGCAGAACATCAATTGTGAAATGTAATTGCAAACGATTCTCTTAGAGAGTAATTTTTTTTTTTAAATGCACTATTTCAAGGCTTTTCCTACCTCCCTTTATAAGTGATCTTCAAAAAAGAATCGGTATATACTTCCTGGCCGAATGGTCAGCTTCCAACAGGGAAAACCAAATAGTAAATCGTGAAGTTCATTTCATCTGCTCTCAGGAATGACTGGCATCCCTTCCAAGACTGAGTGTTTACACGCACTTTCTGACAGCCGGCTGCACCTAGGCTGCCTGTTCTTTCTCTCCTTTCTTGTCTCTGGAGCGGCATTCGTTATAACCTTAGGCGGGTGACCGACTTTAATCTCAATAATCCCATCAGATCCTCGCAGGATTGTTAATGCCAAGGAGAGGAGTTTTCTTGGACACCTGCACTTGCAGATTCTCCATCAGCACATGAAATTCTCATTAACGTGACAGGCCCACCTAGATCCCTGAAGAAATACATGGAAAATCAGTGTAAAAGGAGGCCGTCAGAGTTTATAGGCCAAGAGGCTGATTTAGAGCATCGCCCCCATCTGCAAGTCTTTAGTTTCCAGAAATTCATCCTTGTGTTTGTTTTTGAAACCAAGCTTTTAGGAGGAGGGAGAAAAATTA